CATTTAATTTTTGTTCATAACAACAAAGTGTTTTTGACATTTTCTACCGTTGAGGTAGCATTTATCATTTAAGCTTTTCCTTAAGATACCATTCGTTGATTAAGAACTTCATCGTTTATCATTTAAGCTTATGGTATCGTATAGTCTGATATAAACACGTTTTGGATATTGTCTTTTTATGGCTTGAGCATTTAGCACGTTTCTTTTTCTATAAGCTTTGGATTTGTGATTAAGGCTTTTATAGGGTTTGGTCCACTAGTGCAAAAACACCATATAACGTTAATGTTTTTCGGCCTTTCACGTCGAATTCGAGGTCGACGTCATATCGGGAGACGTCAAATTGACGTCGAACACAGAACAATTTGACATTCATAGTAAGCAAATTAACGTCGAATTTTGTCAATATTCGACGTTAATCAACTTTTTTTTTGTTTTTTTTAATTAATTGTGATCTTTTTTACAACTCTACGGGACCTGAAAAGCAGCAAAACAACAATTTTCATTTTTTGGTATTTTATAAAGTATGAACTATGAACGTGTAATGTAGTATCAACAACAAACAACAATAACAAACAACAAACAAGTTCAATCAAACAAGAACAACAAACAAGTTCAACCAACCAACAACACCAAACAAATTCAATAAAAAACAACAACAAACAAGTTCAACAAATAAGTTCTTCAAAACAAAAAGGAAAGCCTTCAAAAGGTGGGTTCGTCGGAATAAATTGTTGCCACTAGTGAGAGAGAAAGAAGAATGCGCCTATGAAGGACAAGAACACGAAAATAATCGGTCAAAACAAACGAAAATCATACCTAAAGTAGTTAATTAACATGCATATGTAACAAATGAAAGAAAGATTACATGTGATGATCGTCAAACTTCGTTACAGAAAAGTTTGAACAGAGAAAAGGGTAAAGCGCATTAAGATAAAGTGAATGAATTTTCAATTTCCCGCTCAAATTTTTATTGAATTCACTAATTTTTTAACGTTTAACGCTGAGACATTCGACGTTTTATATCCTTTTGACGTTTAATTCTAAGGAATTCGATGTCATACGTAAATACATTTTCACCTTCGCGCCAAGCATTTTCGCAAAATTTATCCAATATAACAAATTGACGTCGAATTACAATTCTAAACGACGTTTAATAATTGCATTTATTTACAAAAATGTCACCGGTCATTTTTAACGTTGGTTATTCAGTGGTTGGACGTTGAACGCGTGACTTTATACGATGTTTTTGCACTAGTGATCAAAGACATTGTCTTGACACCTTTTTGCTTCTTAAGAGGTCAACTTATTACCATTGAGTACAGAATAGCTTACGCATTTAGCATAACGCTATTAGACACTTTGACTTGTAAGTCGTTTAGCGTTGCATTTGGAAGCTTTTAACCTAGTTGTTTTCCTATGTTAATGGATGATTTGGAAATCTTGTTTCTAGCACTTATGTTTCTGTGTATCTTATTCTTCTGGTTTAAATGTTTTTAGATTCTTGTCTCATTTAATGTTATTTGATTAAACTTCATAACATGAAAGTGTTTAGACATATGAGTCTTATAGACGATTTTGTCTTAACACAGGGCACTAAGCACTCCATTTTTGCGCTGAGCGACATTTTTACTATGGGTTTTGAGCACTAGGTGAGGGTAGGATTGTTGGGCAAGTTAATAGTGAAAGGATAATTATATGTTTCAGGGGTTGAGCGAAATTTCTTGCTAGGCTCGGAGAACTCTTTGTTTGCACTCTCGCTCGGTGCTAGGTGAGCTCGCTGGGTGAGCATGGTCTGGTGTTGAGTGCCATGATTCTAGTGCTGAGCGCGAGGATTCTGGTGCTGAGCGCAAGGATTCTAGCGTTGGGCGCCCTGTATAAATGTTTGGTTTCTTTTGTTTTCTTCTCTTTTGCTTCTTATGAATGGAAATGTTTTTATACTTTAATGTTGGTTTAGTAATATCTATTGAATTACATTATGGTTTATACATGAGGTTATGTATGTATTAAAGTATGGTTTGAAAAGAGTTTTTAAGGAAAAAATTTGATGGTTGTTTCAAGTAGTGTATGTATTATTGTAGGAGCTCAGTCTTTGGGGTTATCTTGAAACTCTAATGGATATTCATTCTCAAGTAGAGAGGGGTGAGACATGTGGTGAAAGTAGCATGAGGTCCTGGTCTAGAGACTTTAGGGCCTAAGGCGTTTAATAGACTAACCTTGTGAGTAGTAGGATGAAACCTATTGACAATGACTTGGAGAGTAGTAGAGGCACCACAAGTGCACAACCCACCATAGCTTGATAATAATACATGTATCTGGATGTTTGAGTCTAGATGTTATAATATGTTTAAATGTTGTGCTTAGTTTGAAAGTGAAAATATTATATGTTATTTTGTGAATTCTATGTTTTATTCTTTTCATATTAGTTTACCTTTGTTGTTTTTGTTTGTTTATGTGTTTGTTTTATTTTTTGCAATGACCATCTTAATGGTGTGAGCTTAGATGATGTCAGGAATGAGCAGGTGCTAGGAAACGATGAAGCTAAGGCGTAGAATAGAAAGTTTGGTTTCAATATTATCTTATTTATTAAAGACCTTATTACTTTTTTTGGTTAAGTGCAATAATTTGGAATGTTATGTGTTATAATTTGGAATGTTACAAATAAGGTCTCTATATAAATATTATTGTTTTTTTTTATTATTTTATGTTATATATCCTTTACAAAACCTTCTTTTGATACGAAAAGAAGATAGCATATAACATTCTCTTCTTTCTTTGATTTTTGTAATAAACAATTATTCTCTACTAACGGAATCTATAAAAAATATAGTCTTACGACTTTAGAGTAGTTCCATTAAATTTGGAACTATATACAAGATAAGTTTTAAAATGTTAAATCCACTTCTACTATTACTAATTTGATTTTATTGATGCTATTTTCAACCTTAACTTTGATATTTTAAATATTTAAAATTAATTTTAAGCAAAATAAAAAAGCCTTGGTCTTAAAATTATTATTATTATTATTATTATTATTATTATTATTATGAATTATTTTCATTATATTAACTATATAGGATTTTAAATTAAAGTTGATTTTTATTTCTGTATTGATGTATTTATACATGACAGAATATTAAAATGTTATTTAATTAGTACTTAGTTCCATTGTACTTAATAAATCATATCAGTATCTTCACTAGTTTAAATTAGTGTAATTTTAAAAGAAGTATTTTTAAATCTGTCCAATACTAAAAGAAAAGCATAATGCTTGTGGATTTCAAAAGAAAATCCAAATCATTGAAGAAAAGTAACTTGCTTTCCAGAACACTCAAATCAAACGAAGAATCTGGAAAACACTCATGTCGACATCATGTTAACATTATGAACTAAACTTTGATGTCTTTCTGCTCTTAAGAATTTTCTCTGCATGTTTCTCTCTATTTAAAAATTTTATTAAAATATAATAATTGATATTAGTTTTTCTTGTTAAACTATTGACAATATCTACATAATTGATGTGGTTAGTAAACTCCCGTATGTTTTATATTTTGTTTAAATTATGTTAAAAATACAAAACAAATAAATAAACTTTGGAAAAATGTTCTGGTGGCATCAATACATTTATTAATGTTTGCATTTAGATATGAAAACTGGCTAATATATTGAATAACTTTGAGAACATTAACCATAAAATAATTAGGAGTACATAGGAAAGAGTTTGAAAAATCCTATTAAACAGTCTTTTTATACATAAAAAATGTACATTTAAAAAATGTTACCAACACTTCTCATATCTCATTATTCAAATTTGACTATTACTGTTATGACGAGTGTACGATACAATGTTGAAATCATCACTTTAATGGAAAGGTCTTCAAAAAGTGGACCACCAATTCTCATATATTTTTATACATGTTTTTTTTTTTGTTTTTCATAGTTTTTAAAAATAAACTATAATAACTATTCTCAATATTATATTTTTAGATCTTTTTATTTTTTTCATCATCCCATGATTTTGTTTATTACAAAATTAATAATGAATAAAATTATTAAGTATGTTTAATTTTTGTGTCTTCAAAATAGATAAGATCTGGGATATTGATATAATGAAAGAAAGAAAATAATTCTTATTATTTTAGTTATTGAATAAACTAATTATCACTTAACATATTCTTTAAAAAAATTTATGATACTTCTAGAATTTTTAATAGAAAACAGTAGTCTTAATTATTTTCTTAACTTATTTTTTAATTCACATCTCTTATTTAGAAAAAGTTAAGAAATATATGAACATACGACATTGAACCTGCTGTGCTCACACGTGATACTTGTTCCTCCGAATATTCCATCCAGTACTCAGAATACAACAATGTTCATTCGCCGCATTTCTGTGCATTAAGCATCTTTTTACTGAGTATTTAAACAGCGACATAAAATTATTCAAATATTATTCTTATATGATAAATAAAATTCTCTTAAGTCAAAGATATTACTTCTATTTTATAAATTCAAGTGTTGCTATTATATTATTTTCATAAATTGAAAAAATAGATAGGATAGTTCACCAACTTGATCCGGAAGTTTATCATGTCAATTTATCACAACACCTTAAAAGAATAGTACTCCATTGTTTTCTTTTCAAGTATATATTTTTGACAAGTCTTATTTATTTATCATTTTCAAAATTTACAATGACACTATCACTTTCTTATCCGCTGTGTTTTCTTACATTACCTTTAGTTAATTAAACATTTTAATATATAATAATAAGAATAATATAAAAAAAAAACATCATAACGCAACTGAAGAAGCAATATTAGCAGAAAAAAATAATTAACATAGTCTTCAAAAATTAAACTCAAACTATATAGAATGATGGTACTAAAATGGATAAACTGGAAGTTCTAATTTAATTTTTACACTACAATTTTGCAAAATAGATTCTTCCCTGAATAGCAGCAACAAAACTGATTATTTTATTAAATTATAATAATCATAATCTAATAAACACTTCTACTTGGATCATCTTGTCCAAACAGCGCACCACTTCCAGCTTCAAAGACGGTGTTGTCGAACCCCACCAACCTGCAACTAACGCCATTCGCAGCCATCCGAACCGGGTCTGCAACCAACCTGCGACATGGACCAAACCACTTATTCTGCATGTACAGATTCTTCCTCCACGGTGGAACCGGAAGACCCTTGCTCCTGAAACACTGTCTCAATGCCTCACACAGCTTGGAAACTGTTTGTTTCAGCTCCTCCGCACATCCAACAAAGATGCAGGGAACGGCAGCCAGTACCTCCGAGAACAGTTGCGTCGGCCTCGATATCTCAAACTGTGCGTGGAAGTCAAGGTCCACGAAGTATCGCCACGTGGTACTTCCAGACTGGACCACGTCAATGAACTCATGGCTCCCACCAGAGGGGTCCGGTGTGGTCTCGCATACGACGGCGTTGTGCCGCCTGTCCCGGAGAAACCCTGCCACGTTCCCACGGAAGAGCGTTGCGTTTTGTTCTTTCAGAATTGCAAACTTTTCAACTGCTTCAGAAACATGCGCGATAAGTAAGTTTCGGTAAGCGTCCCCATTGTAGAGTGAGATTGCGAGACTGGTTGAGTTACTCCCAGAATGGTCCGAGCCTTTGACTGAATCAACTCGGTCACAGTCGGAGTCATCGAACAGTTTATCCTCGCTACAGCCGTTAGTGTCTTCTTCAAAGAAACCTTGGACGAGATTAGACAGGGAGAGAGAGTCGCTATCACCGGAACACTGGGTACTGCTGGAGTTAAAATTCCAGTGATCGGCACCAACGAGTCGGGCTCGAGCCTGATCGTCGAAGGGGTCAGTGACTCGCTTCTTTTTTGGGAAAGTGCGCATTGGATTAGTTTGAGAGAGAAAGGGAGAATTTTTTGAAGTGGGTTTTGAGGTGACTGGTGAGAGAAAGGTGGTGGTTTTGAACAGAGGGGAAAGAGAAATGAAATAATGGAAAATAGAGAATTTCCTGGAGAATATTCGTGGAAACTAGTTTTCACTTTGGTGATGCTATTTTTAATTAAAAATTAATTTATAATATGCTTCAAAAAGTTGGCATATCCTATTTAATATCGAAGTACAAATGGCAGACAAGCAGTACAGGTTCACCAAAAGAAGAAAAAAGTTTTATTTTTTATTAAAAAAATAGTATAAATAAGTGTAACTGTTATTAATATACCAGTGCTCTTAGAAAAAAAATTAAAATTTAATGTTTCTGTAAGTCTATGTTTATATCTAGAATTTCAAATAGAACCTTTTTTTTTTAGTCTCAACTGGGTCTTTATTTTCTTAAAATTGAATTAAATAGGAACTTTTCGTCAAATTGATCAAACAGTTAAGGACTGTGTCACCTGATATGCTGACAGTATTATTTTAATATATGTGTCATTAAAAACGTGACTCAATTCTATTGTTTTAAATTTTGAATGAAAAAATTAAGTAAACAGAATGTAAATTCAATTAAAGAAAGGGCAAAGTTAGAAATTGGTATTATACATTCTCTCTGTAATTGCTATGTCGAAATGAAATTGGGGAAATTTAAGTCATAGCCCTCATCATTCATACACAAAATCGTTGTTGTTGAAGTAGATGCAAGTGATGGTGGGGGAGAACATCGGTTGAAACAAGTTGAAAGCACCACCACCTTGCTCATTCTCGCCGTGGCACACCACCGTGTTCCTTCTACACCGTTAGTGCCGCGCAGAGTCGCGCGCCTCCACAGCACCACCATAGAATCGCGACCCACCCCAAATATCTTCTGTGTCAATTCAAAAAGCACACATCGAGAAGAAGAACCTAAACAGGAGAAACCAATCGCAAAATCATCATCGCGATCCTCCCCAATCCCATCCTGTCGGAGCGAAAGTCGCCGCCACCAACGCCATGAACCCCAATCCGCCGGCAAAGCAGACAAACCAGTCGCACACCCAAATCGCCAAACCTCTATGACCACCACGACACAGACAGGAGTTCGTCCAATCTTACTGGCGCTACCATTGGACACCGTCATGAAACCTTTCAGACCAGGTCCTTTCCATCATGAGAGTGCGCCGCGACATCTTTGTCTTCTCCACTTCGCATAACCAGTCAGCGTGTGTTCTCTCTGCCAGATCGCAAAGATTCAATCTCCTCCACGTTCTCCAACTGCAAGACTAAACTATCGCTCCCCACCATCACCGGACTAGCCCCAAAGCCAAAACCAGAAAACCCAAAAAACCCCCAAATTGGCCACAAACAGAAAACCCTGAAAAGCATCCAAGAGCACTACTGTGGAATCTCTATCCACCTTCCTCTAAGAGAGAATCCCAATCGCAAACCTGCAAAGGGAAACCACCTTCAAGGTCGGGCATTCCTAATTAAAAGAACCAAAAGATGCCAGGAAATTGGACGCAGGAGCGAGAATGTGGAGGTAGAAGAAGAAGTAGAAAGTCTTTATTTTTCCCACTTTGCCCTTTCAAAAAGCTATACACCATCATGCAATTCATAACTTTTAATACAAAATTAATTTATTTATAATGTCACGTCTCATTAACTTGAGTTTGACCATGCCCATGTAATCAACACTAAACGGTCGTTTTGTTTAATTAACGGCAGACCTTTAATTGTTCAATTTTACAAAAATAAGGATCCAATGAGGACGCCAAAAAAAAGGGTCCTATTTGAAATTCTGGATAAAAATAAGGACTTATGAAGACATTAAACCAAAAAATAAACATGCCGAACTATATAAATCTATTCAGTGAAGTTTTTTTTTTAATATTTCTCAAAACCAACTCAAATATCAATACTGTGATAAATCTGTATCGTTGCAGATATTTTCACTTAAGTGGCACCTCCTACCTAATTTAATTTTAAATGACAAATAAATAACAAAAAATTGATAAAAAAAAATATCCACACTATTAAAATATATAAGTGTGGTACTAAGAAACTAAAGACGGTGAAGGATCTCCAAAATAATGGATAAACACTTTCCAATAATCACTCATTGCTTTATCCTTAAAGTGTTTATAAATTAAGTGGATTCTTTTATTAATGGATTAGTAAATTAATTACTTTTAATTTGAATTAGAGGGTATTCATATTTATAACTTTATTATCAACACGAATTTGATATACAATTCACTTATGTTATGAATTAATTTTTCAATATTTTTAAATTATTGAATTCTTTTATATATATGTATTTCAATAAGGTACTCTTGTTGCGTTTTTTCGGCAATTACATATATATTATAAACATTTATTAAGGATAAAAGAAGAACTGGTAAAGGAAATTTATGAAAGTAATGATCCAACTTACTATATTTATCACTAGATTTTCCATTTCTCCTGTTCGTGGGTTTTGAAAGTGATTGAATTGTAACTATAATTTTCCACCATTATTTTACATTTGAGTTACCTACTTATATATTTTTTTTCCTCTTTTCTGACAGTTAAATTAAAGATAAAAGAAAAGAAAAATTAAATTAATAAAATAACAACCCTAAGATTGTCATGTTATGCTAGGTGTTTCCATCCCTCTTACATTATGCGACAATTATTATGAATAACATCTCTCTATCCAAATTTATTTATTTTTTATTCTAATTAAAAAGCGATTTTCTTTTTGAAATTTTTCGATGTGAAAATAAGTAAAGTAAGGATGAGAAGATTTACACATGTAATTTTTATACTGATTCAAATCAAAAGATTCTACATCCAATTGTTAATCCTTATTGACAAAAATGATTAACTTTTTAATAAAATGAAAATCAAGATACAATATAACAATGAATACAAGATCAGGAAACACCTCTCTTAATTGATAAGAGATGACAAAACACCTTTCATTGACACACAAGGAAATGAACAACTTGATTCTTTTTAGCAAAGAAGCACTTCCAACTTAAACACACTAAGTACTAGCTTTTCCTTCTTCAAGCACCGAACCTCAAGCTTTCCTCAAACACTTCTCTGTACTTTGTATTGATTTAAGAAACCTTTTAAGAACTATGAAATAATATATATATATATATATATATATATATATATATATATATATAAGATTATATATAATGTATTACCCACATTGTATGTCTACAATAATAATATATACATACATGTGTTATACTATATATATATATATATATATGTATCACATGTTATATATATGTTATACACTGTATGTATATATATATCTATGTATACATTAACAGTGTATACATATATATATATATATATATATATATATGTGTGTGTGTGTGTATGCATATGTGTGTATATATATGTATATGTATATGTGTACATATATATGTATATGTATGTGTACATATATATATATAATCCAAGGTTAGAGCTAAGTAAAAAGCTGAACAGGACAAACTTTCAATTGTCAATGATAATAGATTATCTAAGTGATAAGCAATTATCCTAAGGAGATAATCGATTATTGTTGAATATAAGTATTTTCCTAATTTTGATATGATAATCGATTATCCTAAGAGATAATCGATTATTGCCGCAAGCTTTCTACACTTAAAAATTAAATACAAGATCTTTTTGTATTACAAATTAAAGTTAAGCCTACTACAATGAAATCTACAACAAAAAAGACTTAACATAGATTGTAAGTTATCCTTTAAGTGTTGAAGTGATCATCATCAAAATCTTTTAAGGCTTCAATGATTCTCATTGGTAACAGATCTTCGTAGCATTTTCTTTTGATTCCCTTTCTCAATCTTTAGTGTCTTGATACATGCCTCTCTTCCTTCATCATCTCACTCTCTTTAATCTCCTTGTATTGACCTTTTCTATCACTTTGATTCAATTCACTTCTCAATGCCCTTACAAATGCCCCCTAAGAGAATATTGCTTCATCACTTCTCATGAACAAGTATTCTCTTGATGTTCAACCGAAGTCTTAAATCTCATGGCTCTCTACATTATTTTGCCTTGCACACTTATGTATTGATTGCTAAAACTATCACTTGTCTCTTCAAAATCTTCGCATTTAATGCGTCACCAACGCCTACTTGAGTATAACTGTCAGATTGTTACAAGGATAATATTATATTCTCCTTTAATGGGCTTGGTCTCGTTATTATTTCAATTGTAATGTCTTTGAGTCTTATAAGCTTTTCTAATATTCTTCTTTCTCTTTTCGGGCTCAATGTCTGTGCCTTGCTCTCTTGCTTTATAATCTTCCCTACATTCCTTTCTTTATAATCTTCCCTACATTCCTTTCTTTCAACAAACTAAACACTTTTTTCTTTATAGATTTAATGGCTTCCTCCTCCAAGAATACTTCTTTTGCCCCTCTCATCCATTGGCATGGTCAAAATCAATGAGAACTCTTCACTCTAGTTTTTCATCTCGAAGAAAAGTCCAAGAAGATTTGCGAGACTCAAGTACTCATTCCTTACACTATTGACAACATTGCTTATGCTTTGGTGGTCCCCTAAACACTTTGTCTTCCATGGAATCATTTAAAATGGTTAGATAAGGTTAATACTTCTTACAATACTTCTTACAAGACCCACTAGATGAAAATTGACATCTTCAATTTGATTGAGTTGTCAAAATAAAACCTCTCCTATCTTAACTTCAACATGTTTACTATTGTTGTTCACTTCTAGAATAAGGAGTTCAACGCTTTGGAGCTACCTTGCAGATCCTAGCCCCTACTCTTTTTTATGTTGTTGTCATTGTCACAATCAAAATCGTGACGGCACGACGAACAAAAAAGAATGAAGTTTCAAAAGAGATTTTGGAGTCGCTACCATAATGTATTTTAGAAAAACTATAAAAAAATGTAAAATAAGACATGGTCTACGAAAACCAACTCCGTAGAAAAAGTGTTAGCAGCCTACAACGTCCGCCTGAGGATAATACCTTTACTTAAACATGCAAATGAATATGGTTTTTTCAAAATATGGTTTACTAGTTATTTGAACCTTGGTCCCCACTCAATTGTGCAATTTTTTATTGATTTTGGATGATGTTGACAGATTTGATTAATTATGTGATCATTATTGTCATCATAGATGAATTGTTTGTGCATTAACATGAGAATGAATATTTTATCCTACTAAAAATTATGTCAACATTTTTGTTGACCTTTTTGCACAAAAGTTTATCTCTATGTCCCCAATTATTTGAACCTTAGTCCCGACCCAATTGTGTAGTTTTTTTACTAATTTTGGATGATGTTGACAAATTTAGTTAAATTAATAATTTTTTTGTGAACTAACATGAGAATGAATATCTTTTCCTACTAAAAATAATGTCAACAATTGTGTAGACCTTCCTGTGCAGAAGTTTATCTCTAGGTTCCCAGTTATTTCCACCTCTCCAGACCCACCTAATCGTGCAGTTTTATTTTTACAAATTTTGGATGATGTTGACAAATTTGGTTAATTATATGATTATTATTGTCATAATAAATGAATTATTTGTGCATTAATATGAGAATGAATATTTTTTTCCTACTAAAAGTGATGTGAACAAATTATGTTAACTTTCCTGTGCAGAAGTTTATCTAAGTCTCCTGGTATTTGAACCTTACTCTCCATATAGTTTTTTTTTTTACTAATTTTGGGTGATGTTGAGAGATTTAATTAATTATTTGTTCATCATCAATACGTTTTTTTTATGTTGACATAAGAATAAATATTTTTTTACGGTAGTCAATCGAATTGAAATGAAAGTTACGGTAGTCAATTCAAGGTTAAAAGGCTGAACCTCCTTTATAAACATGTGTCTCTGTATAAAATCTAGTCTTGTATACATGGGTCTTGTCATAAAGAAGTATCCTAAGAAAATATATGTACATAATTAGGTGTGACAAAAATTGATATAAAATATCAATAAATTTGCAAGATCAAATAAGAAAGACTAGTAAAAACCATCAAGTATTCAAATTCTTCTGGTTTATTATTTCTCTTTTTCAGCTATATATTTACTTACACTCACTTCTCTTTTTCTGTTCTTGTTCCAGTGTCGTGGTGTATAATACACTCAGATTAATGGATCCGTTTTCAGCTTGATCAGTTGATCGAGTTCAGTTACTGTTCGCATCTCTAATTCGTGATGCAACTCACATTCGCGATTGTGGTTGGGGATGGAGGCATCAACCACATAAGTTTTCTGATCTGAGTTCTTAATTTTCTGAATGATTACAGTGTGTTTGTTTTGTCCTATATCCATTCTTCTGTGTTTACACCGAATTTTAGTATAGCATAAATCGTATTGGAGCTTTGACTACCATTGATTATGAACTGAGTTCATATAATTTTCTTGGACTTACATCTTTACATCCTTCAATTTTTTTTCTTGCAAATTTATCTCTTATATCGTTACTTTCAGTTCTAATTTTAAGATTTCAAATTGTAAGTTTAATTTATGTTCGAACTTTCTTAAGAATTTAAATTTTAGATTTTCAAATGGTCATTTTATTTTCATGAAGGTTTCTTGATCATCTTATACAACTTTATATGTTTAATTCGGAAAACTAGATCCTTTTAGAAATAAACATAAAAATGCTCTTTCAAAATTGATTGTTAACCTAAATTTGACTATTTCTCAAAATTATTTAATCAAATATGGCAACTAAATTCATTTAAATTGAAAACCTAAAGATTACCAGTCTAAATAAAATATTAGCATTTACATTTGTTTTAAGTTTAAAGTAAATTAAAATATTTATTTTTCACAGAAAACACCAACTCTATGATGTCAAAGCGCCAGAAAATCGAAAAAACCAAAAAGGTTATCCGTTCAAAATAACTAAATCACTTGAAGCTAGTGTCATAGTATTTGAAAGCAGTCCCATTCAATATATCTAAATGTGAATCTTGCAAAAGTCTATTTCACAACCTGCATAATAGGCATTTGCCTTTTGTGAAACCTTAGCAAATGTAAATAAATGGCATCCCAAAGAAATCAATCTGACAAATTCCTATAAAGGATTGAATACTGTAAGATGTTGATTATGATATAAAGAAATAATAAAAGGAGAATTCCAATGAATGAGGGGAGGGTTATAATATCAGTGTCATACATCATCAAATCATCCACTTCCAGGTAGGAATTGGGTTAATAGAGGCAAACTGAAGGCAAAATTAAGAAAACAAACTAACCATCATGTTAAGCTGCCAAACTAAAAAAATATATCTAGTGTTCATACAAGATCATATTTCTCTGATAACATATTCAACAAGTTAACGACCCAAACAAGAAGTAAACTGAAAAGGGAAATAGAATTTTACTTTCTTGTAGGATAGGAGCATTGTCCACATATGTCCTGCTTGTTCATCATTTCCCCCTGAAATTTAGAGAAGAAAATTCGTTGTCTCATAAAACTTCACTTATTAAGGTTATGTGCTCAAAATTAAGTACAATTTAATTTCACTTACGTGCTCATCATTAAGGTTATGTTGTCTCCTTTAAGAAGGATTCTCCCTGATCAAAAAATGAAATTCTTCAGAAAATGCACAAGTGGCTAAGATAAATAGAACAAAATTTGACAAACGGTAGCATACCTAATGTCTTTTTGCTTTTCTTTTTGATGTTCACTTCTTCAGCATCATCAAGAACTAAATTCATGTATTCATCAAAACCCTGTTTGGAAATGAACAAAATCACATTATCCTTGATTATTGTTAGATATATTGCGTTTTATATTAATTAAGGAAACGAAGACTTTTGCTATTGTTTGATATTGGTAGATATTGTTGATATTGTTTTTAAAACTATCTTCGATTTACCATATTTATGTTTGGTTGCCATATGTACTTGCATCATTTCTTCATTATAAATATATTATCCTATGTGTGTTTTAGACTCCAGATTAATCATATACCTACTTTTGCTATATTCAACATGATATCTAGAATCTAAAGCTTTTGATGGTCAATAATTGAATTTTGAATTCATTGAGAAAGGATTTTCTTGGTTGTTGTCATAGAACACAGGTTCTTATAAAAGATTGAGATTTATGTGGCAAATCTTTATTGACTCATCAATTTGCTAGATTGTGGCATCTTCATCTCTGTTTTATTTTTGCGTGTTTCTCTGATTTTTTTTGTTTATGCTACGGGAGAAATCAAATTTAGGACTGAGTGTACTTTTTCCTGGATAAGATTGTATCATCTGGGCAACAATCAACTATGCTGAAGTCGCCTCTTTCTCCTCTTTCAGGATTTGTGCTTGTTGCCTTGATTGGAGAACCTTGGTGTTTTAGGATTTTTCTCTCTATATGGCATCTTCTGATGCTTCTTTTGATAGTGCAGGCCAATTTTCTCTTTTTAATGAATTTCTCAAATGATACGAGGATTGTCAGAACTCTAGTTCCCGTGCTTTTGTTACACGCACAAGTATATCTTTTGTTGGCCTAACTCAACCTTCTTCTCTTGGACCTTGGGTTCTTGACTCAAGTGCCATGGATCACATTACTGGTAATAAATCTTTGTTTGCTTCTTTATCCTCTCTGGATAATTTACCTACGATTACAATGGCTGATGGGTCTAGAGTCTTATCTCATGGAGTTAGTACTGTTAATATTTTTCCATCTTAACCATTGATAATATCCTTTAACTTATTATCCATTAGTCATCTAACTTGTTCTCTTGATTGTGTTATTTCTTTTTCCAAAAAATTTTGTTTGTTTACAAGACCAAAGTTTGGAAGAGATATATTGGTTGAGCACAAGAATAGATATCTTGTTGAAACAACTTGCACACTTTTAATTCATGGTGAGGGTTTTTGGGTGATGTTATTCAAACTACATGTTATCTTATTAACCGCAGCCATCTTCGATTTCAAATAATAAAATTCCTCATCCTATTTTATTTTCTCATGCACCTATACATTCTTTACCTATTAAATTTTTTGGATCTACATGTTTTGTTCATAATTTTAGTCCTGGTCTTGATAAGTTATCTCCTAGATGACACAAATGTGTTCTTTTAGGATTTACTCAATCACAAAAAGGATACAAGTGTTTCTCTCCTTCTCTTAATTGCTATTTTATTTTCGCATATGTCAACCTTCAATGAGTCTTCTTTTTATTTTAATGGTCCTTCTTCTTATATGTCTCTGTCTACTACAATTAATATTCCTGTTGTCTGTGACTCCAGTTGTGCCTAGTCCACCGTCAAATTCTCCTCTTCCACCTCCCCTTTCCAGTTTATAATCGAAGACATTGTTCCCAACAACCGCTAAGTGACTCAATTCAAGTGCCAACTATTTTGTCTCCTCCGACTCTGACAACTAAGTTTGACCTTCCAATTGCCCTCTATAAAGATATACATTCTACTCATAATCCCTCTCCATATTATATTGCTTTGAGTTACCATATATTGTCTTCACCTTTTTATACATGTCTTTCGTCTATTTCTTCTATGTCCATTCTTAAATCTGTCAAGGATGTCTTAACCCATCCTGGTTGACGTCAAGCCATGATAGATGAACTATGTGCTCTTCAGGATAGTGAAACTTGGGAGCTCGTCCCATTACCATCTAAGAAATTTGTTGTTGGTTGCAAGTGGATTTTTGCTATCAAAGTTGGTCCTGATGGTACTATTGATCTTCAAAGCTCGACTTGTAGCCAAAGGCTACACTTAAATTTTTGGATTGGATTATGGAGATACTTTTTATCCGATAGCAAAGATGACTTTTATCCATTTATTTCTGTCCATGGCTACTCTTTAACAATGACCTCTTTATCAACTCAATGTCAAAAATGCTTTCCTCAATGGAGATTTGTTGGAAGAAATTTATATGGAGCAACCTCTTGGATTTGTTGTTCAGGAGAGTCTTCCAGATTTATATATCGTTTTTGCAAATCTTTATATGACTTAAAACAGTCTCCTAGCACTTGGTTGGCAAATTTAGCAATGGTTCAATAATTTGGTATGATTCGAAATGAGGCAAACCATTAAGTCTTTTACCGCCACTCAAGTGCTGGATGTGTCTATGTGATAGTATATGTTGATGACATTGTTCTTATAGGCAGTGACCACCACGACATCTACCAAATGAAACAACCCCTTTGCCACCATTTCAAACCAAAGATCTTGACAAACTCAATACTTCTTGGGTATTGAAATAACACAATCCAATGATGGTATTGATATATCACAAAGGAAGTATGCATTGGATATTTTGGAGAAATCCAATTGATGAATTCAAAACCTGTTGACACACTCATGGATTCTAATACCAAACTCCTACCAAATAAGGGGAAGCCTATTTCAGATTCTAAGTAGTATAGAAGATTGATTGGGAAATTAAATTACCTTACAGTTACTCATCCTGACATTTCCTTTGTAATCAATGTGGTGAGCCAATTTCTCAATTTCCATGTGAAGATTATTAGAATGCAGTCATCTGTATATTAAAGTACATTAAAGGATCTCTTGGAAAATGTTTGTTATATGGTTCCAATAATCATACAAAAGTTGTTTGTTATTCGGATGTTGATTGGGCAGGATCTCCTTTTGATAGAAGATCTACCTCTGGGTATTGTGTCTCCATTGGTGGTAACTTGATTTCTTAAAAAAGCAAGAAACAAAGTTTTGTTATAAGATCTAGTGCAGAAGCATAATATAGAGCTATGGCCTTAGCTACTTGTAAACTTCTTTGACTTAAGAAATTGCTTAGAGAGTTACAATTTGGAGATGTCACTCAAATGACACTTATATGTGACAATCAGACAGTTCTTTATATAAGTTATAATCTTGTCTTTCATGAAAAGACCAAACACATTGAGATTGACTGTAATTTCTTTCGAGAAAAGATTGTATCTTCGAGACATCATTAACTCAAATAATCAGTTAGGAGATATTTTCACTAAATCTTTAAAAGACCAAGAATTGATTATATTTGTAACAAGTTTGGTATGTATGATTTATATGCACTGGCTTGAGGGAGAGTGTTAAACATATTAGGATTCATGTTAATTAGGAAAATGTAAACTTTTGCTATTGTTTGATATTGGTAGATATTGTTTCTAACAATATCTTCTATTTACCACATTTTTGTTTGGATTTCATATATCCTTGTACCATTCTTCATTATAAATATATTACTTTATATGTGTTTTAGACAAAAAAAAGATTAATCATATACCTAGTTTTATTATATCAACAATAATCGTTCAAATGATCAATATCTTAACAAGGGTATAATGTCTACAACAAGTACCACCATTCATCCCCATCTCCCCTCTCCCCTCCCAGAACCAAAAAGGTTCACAAAATATTTTGAAGCCAACAAAATTTAGATCACGCTATTTTACTTATGAGCATATAAACCCATATGGCAATGGACTAAAATACATACACATTTTAGACAGTATGACTAGAAAACTTTAGCATCTTTTTTGAAGGACCAACAGAACACCACCATTAAACTAAATTCCCCCACAATCCAATATACCGATAATAATAACATACATATAAAGTCAAACACCAAGCATAAAAACCAAGACTCACAATGATTCGGCCTTCAATCCTCAAATCTTTTTGCTCAAAAAGCCAAATCTGAATGCGTGCTTTCTGCGTAAATTACAAAATAGTTAGAGCAAAGGAACAGGGGAAATTGGGGCAAACCCCCAGAAACAATTATGAACTAGAATGAGAGTGGGTGGAAACTTACGCTTTGTAGAAACCTGAAAATCAAGTTCTGAAAAAAGAAAGAAGGAATGAATGAATGAAGTTAGGTTAGAGTTAGAGCAAAAGAAAAGGGAAAAAGAAAAAAAGAGAGTGGAATGAGGACGGTACTATGGGCTGAGTCATAACCCTCTGAACTTTGGTGCTCGCCATGGTTACGAAAATGGAGGAACGAATGTCGGGAAAGATTGCAGGAGACGAGTGAGAACACAGTTAAAACCCTAAATTGCAACTTCTTTGTGAGAGTGAAGATTTTTTACAGGGCAATAGAATACAATCTCTTAAGGCTCATGTATTTTTCTTTTTCTTCCACCTTAAAAAATTTATTTATGTTTACTTAATCAAAATTGTAAATATACATATCTGCATATTTTGTTTTAATAAAACCTAAAATTTCATATTTCTATTAAATACAGAAAATAAATTTAAATTTATTTTTAATCTATGAATTAAGTTAAATTTAATTTTAATTTTCGTATAAATTTAGTTACTTTTATCTGATAAAAGTTAAAACAAAATTTTGTTTTATCACTAAACAACATACAAATTGCTAAACTCCATTATTATAACATAAATTAAAAGTTAAAACAAGATTGGGTTTCTTTACCTTAACCTCGTAATACTACAATTTAAAGTGAATGTTCAGTCAAACTCAAAAAACCACTTAAAATAAAACACTCAAAATCTCCTATTTTTTTCATGAAAACTCACTCATACAATTATTTATATCTAAAAACAAATGAAACTCGAAGAAAATGAATATAAATTTACCTAACACTGTGTTTGGATAAAATATTTCCACAATTTTAAAAGAATTGAAATATTTATAAATTATTTATAATTGAATTCTCTTTATTTTTTAAATAATTTGCTTGAATAAAATAATTAAAGTATTTTACATTTCAATTCTCTTTTTTAGATAAAATAATTGAATTTTTAATTTAAGATAAAATTTCATTTTAAAAATATTTATTTTAAAATATAAAATGTTAAAATTAAATTTAAAAAGTATTAGTTCAAGAAACTTACTTTTTGGTTCACTATAGTTTTTTACAATGTAGTTTATTTCCCAACCTTAGATACATGTATGTTTATACTTGTGTAGTAATATAAAGTTGTTTTGAGCTGAGTAATTATGTAGAATTGATTGTTTTGTTTTTTATTTTAAATTTTGATTGATTTTTTAGCAATGAAATGAATTGTTTTCTATGAATGAATTTGCTTAATGATGTATAAAATGAGTTAGTTGAAGATTATGAACTTAAACTGAGTAAGTTCAATTTTTTATAAAAATATTTCTTGTTGCACTAAAATGTTATTTGGAATTACTTGTAATGTAGTGTAATTATAAATAAACAGACACATATTAATTAACTCTATTATCAATCAAGTAACTACCTAAAATTAGTGTATCATTATTGTTTTTAGGATGTTACAATCCCTATGCACCATAATCGTCACTAAGCCAAATTAATTCTGATTTTATTTTTTTATAAGAAAATTATATCTTAATTTTGACAACAAAATCAAATCCTAACATCTCCTCCTAATTATCATTATTATTATTTTCACACCATCCCAAAACTTCAAAAACACCACAACATTTAAATCTTAAAACACCAAATATATGACCAATTTGATTTTTGGGACAAAAATATATGGAATTCAAACATAGGAAAAGACACGTATACCAATTTGATTGGAATAGTAGTAATTATGATAAAAATAAGTAAGAACACAATTTTTTTTCACTCAGAAAGCTACAAAGCAATACTACTCCATACTTAAAAGATAATAAAAATATTTATACATACACATAGTAAAATTTATGATGGATATAATGAATATTTTTAATTAATAATCATGCATTATTAGTATTAGTATTTAATTATCTCCCTTACTGGTAGAATGAGTACGAATATCATAGTGTTCGATAATATTTATTTCTTACTAATAATTATTAGTTAATTATATTTCAATAATTTTTTAAAATCAAGTGATCAAAATAAAATTATTAATAAAAAAATATTAATCAGCAAATGATTATTTAAAATAACTTCATCCATTTTTATTTCTTTATAAAATTAAAGTTCTTTTTATTTTTTTTTAAATTTGTATTTTACTACAGCTGATTTGAATTTTATGTTTAAAAAGACTAAATTTATTTTTATTAATATTTTATTGAATGATTTTATTAGAATTATATTTTTATTTATCTTTTATTTAAGTTTTATGTTCTAAATATTTATTTTAATATAATTTTATTTAAAATTAAAAAATAAAACATAAAAATATATAAAAGTATCTATGCATAAATTAAAACAAATTTACAGATATTTTGTCCAGACGATTATTTTTAGACGAAGCGCAAAGTAGATATGCATAATCTAAACCTGATTTGTCACTATCTCTATCCACACTAAACAATCTGCATTAAATTTTCTTTTATATTATTTTAATTTTAATTTTTTACATTAATGTTTTTATGCTAAATATAATTAAATATATTCCCTTATCATTTTTTTAATATAAAAAATCTATATTTTTTTCACCATGCAATTTTAACAATAACATATTTAATAGCAGATATCTACATTTTTTCTCACGGTTTATCTTATATTTTTAGTTTACTTCTAATAGCACACATTTAATTACATTAATTTAAATTTGGAACTAAAAAAGTATGCAAGACTTCTTGCTTTTTTTCAAACTTATTTTAAATTAATGTAGTCTTTAAAACCCTGAAAATGATATCTGAAAGAGAGGGATAGATGTCTCAACTAAAAGAGTTTAAGCATTTTATAAAATTTTCTCAAAGCACAGCTCATTTCATTTTCTCAGAATCTGCATCTCTCTAAAAACTCAATCCTCTTCTTTTCTCCTCCTTCTCTCTAGAAAATCTTCATCTCATTTCATCTTTTCAATCATCTGATCACACTCAATCACCACTGGTATCAAGAACTTCAATTTTCACCAATCAACATCTCGTTTAGAACGGGTAAGTCTCAATATTTGGGTTCTTGTAGGATTTTGAAACTGTCTGACACATGCAAGTCACATTTTCTGGTTGCATGTGTTCATCAGCTTCTTCTTCTGATTTCTGATCACTTTTCTGGTATTTTTGGTTGGTCCGTTACCGAAAAATCAATGAACTGTAGGTTCTTAAGAATTTTGGTGTTAGGAGCAAATTTCTGAAGTGGTAGAGTTATTCGGTCCGGTTAAGAGGTATGTGAAGCTAGATAATTTAATTACTTAGTTTTGATGTATGGATATGTTGTTTGATAATTATGCATGTGTATGAAATTGATTTGGATAAAGCTGTATGAGTGTAAAAATTGGATGAATTGGGTGTTCGGTGTTGTTGGTGTGGAATATTGATGTTGTGATTATGATGATTGTGTATTTGTATGATTATGAAACAGTGGTCAAGTGAAATTGGTAAGGTTGGTGTCGATCTTAATTATGTAGTTAATCTGTAAAATTATGTAGTTGTTGAAGGTCTTTAATTGACCGTTCGACTTTTATCTGGTGCTCGATCTTAACTGAGTTCTGCTATTGTGGATTCTCAGATAATGAACGTTCGGTTTAGTGTTGATTTCAAATTAATGTAGCATTCGGTCTAGACATAACTTTTGTTGTAAACAGTGTTCAGTCCGTCATAGGTTATAACTGTTATTGACCGTTCGATCTTGAACTGTCTTGGTAGTGCTCGGCCAGATGCCAACACTCGGTCTCAGTAATGCTCGGTGATGTACGAAGCACTCGGTGTCATCATATTACCAAATTATGTAATTGAAATTGTAACTAAGAGGGTTCTGACTAAGCTTGTAGTGTTCGGTCTAGGCTCTTAGGTTTTGGTTATGAGCTTTTAGTATTCGGTCATGTCTAATTATAGATGTTCTATAGTATTCAGTCAAATCTTTGGATTCTGTCTAGTAAATAATATCTCGTTCGGTCATGTTCACCATAGGGAAATAATATCCCGTTCGGCCATGTTCACCATAGGGAAATAATATCTCGTTCGGTCATGTTCACCATAGAGAAATAATATCCCGATCGGTCATGTTCACCATAGGGAAACCATATCCCGTACGGTCATGTTCGCAGATAGGAGGTGTTCTACTGTCAGGTTTTGTTCATAATAAGTGTTGATATTTTCCAAGTCAGTTATGCTCAATGTTGACGTTGTTTTAATGTTCAGTTTGAAGTTATTTAAAGGTGTTATGGAAGAGAAAATATTTTTGTTAATAAGGTATGGTATTTAAAATGTGATATGAATGGAATAGTATGAATATGAAGAAATATGATGTGATTTGTATTATATGGATATGAACGAGTGTTCCAAGGAGGAATATCTCAGAAATGGTTATGGAATTGTAAAGTATGAATATGGTCAGACTAAGCTGTCGTTCATCCTGACATTCTAATGGTCACCGAATCTCAAGTAGAGAATGGTGGCGCATGTGGTGAGAATAACAAGAGGTCTGGTTGCGTATAGCTTGCTTGGGGTTCCAACTATCGGACTAAACTCATGTGTAGACTTAGGTTTCCAGCTACAGTGAGGGATGAAGGGCTAACCTCGTGTGGCGGCTTGGGTTTCCAGCTATGGTAATTCTGATGATTTTCCATATTACCTTTCCACGAGTGTAAAATCGTCGTAGCTACATAATTCACACAGTCCGGACAATCAGAGTAAAGTAAACAGTCAGAGTAAAGTGAACAGTCATTGCATGCATTGTTGTATGGTTATGGTTGGCAATGTATGATTGGTTGTTACATGATGGACTTATTGATTTATATCCGATTTATGTGAGTTATCTCTTTACATAGTTAATTAAATTACATTAGCTTACTCTTATTTTCCTGTCTTGTCATGTCGTCCACTCGATCGTCCTTGTCCTTGCAATGATCACCCTTTGGGTGTGAGCAGAGTGTGCAGAAAACATTCTAGAACAGGCGCTAGTAGGAGAGTAGAGATTCCGCTAAGAGTAAGATCGTTCAGTCTTGTGCTTGTTTCTTTTTTAGTATAAAACCATTCGGTGTAATATACCGTTGTAGGACCGTTCGGTTGATAATTCTCATGTATGACCGATCGGTCTATTTTTATTATTCGTATCAGTGTAGATTTATGTAAAGTTTTTAATTTATAATTATTTTAGGATAACAGTAAGTAAAACTTTATTTTATATAACAGTTATATTTTATTATAAATGTAAGTACTCTTGAATATAGTATGCAGCTATATTTTTTAAATGTTACGTGGTCAACCCAC